CGGTTCCTCAGCGGAGCTGGGTGGATGGTCCGGGGAGGAAGCCGTTTAGGTCTCGAGGGCCGGCTCCGGGGGGGCTTCGGCGGTTCCCGAGGGCCGCCAGGCGGAGGCGGACTTGGAGGCTCTGCTGGGCCGAGGAGGAAGCCGAGGAGTAAAAGTATTAGGAAGAGGGTGGGAAGGATCCCGCTGGCAAAAGACCGGAGCTCCTGGAGGTGGGGGTCGTGTGGTCTCAGTAAAGTAAGACCCCTGTTGGAACCCACGCTCTGCCCGCAGCAGCGGCGGCCCGTGCACACGCGGGCCTTCCTCTCTCTGTTGGTGGAAGGGGTCCAGCACCGTTACTTCGCGTCTGTCCCTGTGCTGAACACCTAGGGCAGCGGTTCTCAACCTGTGGGACGCGACCCCTTTGGGGGTCGAATGACCCTTTCACAGGGGTTGCCTAAGACCATCGGAAAACACATTGAATATATAATTACCTAATGTTTTTGTGATTCATCACTATGCTTTAATTATGTTCAATTTGTAACAATGAAAATACATCCTGCATATCAGATATTTACATTACGATTCATAACAGGAGCAAAATTACAGTTATGAAGTAGCAACGAAAATAATTTTTTTAAAAATATATTTTATTGATTTTTTACAGAGAGGAAGGGAGAGAGATAGAGAGTTAGAAACATCGATGAGAGAGAAACATCAATCAGCTGCCTCCTGCACATCTCCTACTGGGGATGTGCCCGAAACCCAGGTACATGCCCTTGACCGGAATCGAACCTGGGACCTTTCAGTCTGCAGGCTGACACTCTATCCACTGAGCCAACCCGGTTTCGGCATAAACGAAAATAATTTTATGGTTGGGGGTCACCACAACATGAGGAACTGTATTAAAGAGTCGCAGCATTAGGAAGGTTGAGAACCACTGACCTAGGGAGTCATTCTTGCTGGAATGCCCTCAAAACGACCCTGAGATGTGTGGGAGCCACTTTATTAGTATTATTTTTTTAATTCTCACCAGAGGATATAGTTTCCATTGATTCGAAAGAGAGAGGAAGGGAGAGGGACAAACATTGGTTTGTGAGAGAAACATCAATGGGTTGCCTCCCCAACCGGGGATCAAACCCACAGCCTTGTTATGTGCCCTGACGGGGAATGGAACCCGTGACCCTTCGGTGCAGGGGACACGCTCTAACCCACAGAGGACACCGGCCGGGGCTCTGGGAGCCACTTTACAGATGAGGAAAATGAGGCTCAAGGAGGCTACGGGAGAAAAGCCCAAGGTGAGCTCAGTTCCTAGACATGAGAACCGTCTGGCCGGGTTGGTGGTTCTCTGAAGGGAAGTGGGCGGTGCCGTTCCCACCCCACCCCCACCCCCAGGGGACCCTGTGCCCTGTGCGGAAGGAAGGGTCGTGCCAACCGTGAGACTTGCGTGGTTTCCTTAGCAGAACTGCGTCAGGCTCTCTGGGGGGTAAACCGCTGCTCACTGGTGACTGCGCCTGGACTAGGGGAGGTCAGAATGGGGAACCGACTTCTCCGGAAGGAGGGAGGGTTGTGACATCATCTCGCCCTTTCATTATTCATGGAAGCCCGCATTTTACAGTAACAGACCAATTTAACTTAGCCTGGCTGGGATTGAGACCTGGCAAGGAGTGGGGCACGGGAGGGGCTGAGCCAGCAGAGTGGGCACTGGAGGTAGCCTTACCCTGGATCTCCTCTCTGGGTCCCACTTTTCTCATCTGTGAAATGGGATTGATTAGACTGTGAGGATGAGGAAACATAATCATGACACCCACCAGAGTATTTCCTGGTGCCACCTGTCATCCGGATGGGTCAGGCAGGCCTCACCCCCACCCCACATGCTTACCAGTGTTTCCTGGGACCCCCACAGGTGGCCCTTGCAGTTCCCCTCCAGGGGCCAGAGTCATTAGCCAACACTTCTGGAACACCTACAAGCTGATGTTTTTTGAGGATCTAACATGTGTCAGGTTCTGTGTTAAGCGTTGGACCCTGATCGATCCTTTTAATCATCCCAGAACAACCCTTCCTTTCTCCTGAGAAATACCCCTTATTTTGCAGATGAGGAAGCTGAAGCTTACAGAGAGGTTAAGAAAGTTCACCGCGTGAATCGCAGACTCTTTCTGATACAAATGACAAAAATCTGACTCAAACTGGGTTATGCTAAGAAGGGAGTTTACTGGCTTTGGAAACAGAAATCCAGGCATGACTTGATCTGGAGATTCAAAAACGTCATAAAGATTGAATCTCTCTACTCTGCCTTCACCAACTTGGGGTCATATTTGAGCTCTGTGAGGGGTTCATATCATTCCAAGTTCTGGTTCAGTAGAAAAGAGAGTCTCTTCTTGGTAATTGGGGCACAAGTTCCAGGATTCACTCTAATTGTACAGTTGGGGGGGGGGGGTCAAATGACCACTCAGATGACCACCTCGATAAAATCTGCCCAGGAAGATTCAGTGCTGATTGGCAGGTCTGGTGGTCTGGTCACGGGGCCCCACAGCTTCGGCCTCACCAATGGGCTGATAGGGAAGGAGGGAGGAATGTCTTTTCAAAGGAGAAACAGAAGAGATGGGGAGTGGGTGCCAGTTGCTACCTCTACCTTGTTATCACAGGTCACACAATTGAGAAGAGATGAGGCCTGGATGGAGCCCTGGTCGCCTGACTCCAGAACCCACGTTCTGAAATCCTCTGCACTTTCTGCTGCAGGTGCAGCCTGGTAAGCACTTAGCAGAGAAAACCCAGATGTAGAAGGTGAGGCCCTGCTGTGGGAGAGCACCCTCCCCTTCCTCCCTGGCCTCAGGTCAGTCCTCATCACCTCTGGTGCCCATCCCACCTCCTGCTGAGGCTGCTGCTCCTGGAGGGTCCTGGAGCCTTTCTGACCGCTGGGTCCGGGCTGCTGCCTGCCATGCTGCAGAAGGCCCTCCCCATGTAGCTGAGGTATGCCACTGCCCTGGGGCCTGGTAGCTTCCCGTTTCTCCAAGCAGAAGAGAGGCTCATTAGACACTGGGACTGTGTTCTCCCTTTCCCTGTGGGTGGTCCCTCTCTGGACCAGGCAGGATTTGTGCATTAGGCAACAACTGTGGGTGTTTTTTTTTTAAAGTATATTTTTATTGATTTCAGAGAGGAAGGAAGAGGGAGAGAGAAACATCAATGATGAGAGAGAACCATTGATCGGCTGCCTCCTGCAAGCCCCCCACTGGGGATCGAGCCCACAACCTGGGCATTTGTTCTTGACCAGAATCAAACCTGGGATCTTTCAGTTCGAAGGCCGACGCTCTAACCCAGCGGTTCTCAACCTGTGGGTCGCGACCCCTTTGGCAGTCGAATGACGCTTTCACAGGGGTCGCCTAAGACCATCCTGCATATCAGATATTTACATTACAATTCATAACAGTAGCAACATTACAGTTATGAAGTAGCAATGAAAATAATTTTATGATGGGAAGAAGGACATCTTTTGCTGGAAACAATAGAATATAAATATAAAAAATAATTTTGTATTTCAGAAGTAGTTAATTGCCAAAGGACAGAACAAAATTAAATAAGATAAGATTCTGAACCAAGTATAAAGTATAAAATATTTTCTTCACAAAATACATTAGGTTTAATTTAGTCTAGACACCAAATCTTTCAGATGCTATCTTTCTCTTAACCTATTAAGAGTCTAGAGACAGTGATGGTGAACCTATGACACGCGTGTCAGAGGTGACACGCGAACTCATTTTTTTTGGTTGATTTTTCTTTGTTAAATGGCATTTAAATATATAAAATAAATATCAAAAATATAAGTCTTTGTTTTACTATGGTTGCAAATATCAAAAAATTTCTATATGTGACACAGCACCAGAGTTAAGTTAGGGTTTTTCAAAATGCTGACACGCTGAGCTCAAAAGGTTCGCCATCACTGCTCTAGCCACTGAGCCAAACTGGCCAGGGCACAACTGTGGTTTTGAGGGCCCTAGGGAGCCCTTCTCTACTCCCTTTATACCTTCTTTTAAAATTCTGTCATCAGATAGGATTTCACTCATTTAACTTGCATTAATATTTAAACTCCCCTGAGAGAGGGAACATCGTAGGTCTTATCACTCATTCACACTTTAGTGAGAAGTAGTTCACAGAATCCTTCCTGAGGATTATTATGGCCACCTTTTATTGAATGCTCTCCATTGATTCAAAAGCTTTTCATGCATTATCTCATTTAATCCTCACAACTCTGTCAGGTGGGAACTATTATCACCCCTGATTTACAGATGGGAAAACTGAGGCTCAGGGTCTGCAAGCAGTGGGCTTTGACGGCATGAAGGCTGTTTCCAGAGCCTACACTGCCTGTCACTCCACCGAAATGACCTCTAATACTCTTCAGTTTACAAATGTACTCAGTGCATTTATATACATCTTTTGGACCTCCCTACAACTCAGCAAGGTCGTTGGTATGATCACCCACATTTTATAGAGGAGATCGTTGAGGCTAAGTTTAGTCAACTGGTACGTGGCTCCAGGATTTAGACTCCTTACTCCCATCTGAGACCAGTGCTCCTGGACCCCACGCAACATGCAGTGAGAAGCCTTGAGTCAGCTCACTCTGGTGTCTTGGGGACAGAGGGAGAGTGTGGTGGGCATGGAAGCTAGGAGCTCCCAGAACAAATCTCCTTTCTCTCCCTTCTTCCTCCCTTCTTCCCTTCCTCCTCTTCTTTCTCTCCTTCCTCCAATTGTTCTATTAACCACCTGAGCACCTACTAAGAATGGTGCCTGTGGGTAAGCAGTGGCCAAAACAAGTGTCCCTTGTGTCCTCACAGGGCTGATAGTCTAACAAAATAACTAATAACAAAAATTCCTTACGTGTTTATGGTGAGCTGGGCGCTGTGCTGAGTGCTGAACGTGCCCCATCCTCATAGCCTCTCAGGTGGGGAACTGGGCCTCAGGAAGGGCTGCGTGCATCAACTCCTTTAATATGATTCCAGTCTGATTCCAGAGTCCAAGCATCTCACCACAAGGCTGGACTGCCTCCCTCTTGGGGTGTAGTGGGGAACCAGTGGATGCTTATGGAGTAAAGAATACCGCCTACACACACACACACACACACACACACACACACGCAGTGTTGGCTCGCCCAGCACCAGAGGCAGCCATCACAGTGTCTCCAAGACCCTCCCTGCCACCAGGAGCCAGGCCCCAACCCCAAAAGGAAGCTGAGTGGGGAAAGGCTATCTTCCAAGGCAGGAACAGGCTGGCACACTTCAAGACCTCTGGATGGAACTCCCAGCGACACTGAATTAGAGTGACCCAGGCAGAGGTCCTGTTCTTTCTCCCCAGGTTGTCTGTCAGCGTGATTTCCTTGTGCCTCGGTTACCTCTTCTCTAGGTTCATCTGCGCATCAGCTGCGTCTGAAACATTATCCATCAGACACTTTGTAGAGCCAGCTGGGTGCTTCCTCCTCCCCCCTTTCTGACCTGGTCCTTTTCCAGGATCTTCATAGAGATTATGTTTCCCTCTTTGTAGATGTGGAAACAAGGCTCAGAAGGCTACCCACATAATGATTGTGAGAAATGCAGTGAGAACCCACTTAGGTCTTGAGTCTACTGTCTCAACAAGTACCTACTAAACATTCAACTATATGTCAGAGTCTGCGCCATGCCCAGGAGATGTAACAGTGAGCAAGAGAGAGTCCTCCTACCTTTATGAGCACTAATTCCAGGAGGGGCGGACAGACAAGACAGGAAATGTTGGCAGAATGAGGTGACAAGAGCTAATTTGGCCGGGCAGAGGACAAAGGTCTGCTCTGGGCTGTCTCAGCCCTGGCACTTTGGGGGACCCAGCAGAGCAAAGGTTTCGGGGCTGGGGAGTTGAAGTTGGGAAGATTGAGGGAAGGCTAATTGGGGTGCTAACCGGGAGAAAGAGTTGGAGCTGCCCTACCCTCAAAAATACCCGGACCAAGCTGACTTTGGCCTCTGCCTGCTGCCTCTCAGTCTGTGCTCTGCCTGCCTGGATTTTCCACGCCGACAGTTTCCTTGTCTTGGGTGCTTTCCAGCCCCACCTGCTTTCCTGGAGCCCAGTTCATCCCTCATTCCTGCCAGTCATATGCCAGTGTCACTCTGAGTAACTCTAGGGACCCAGGGTGACCTCACCTGCTCCTGATTCAGTTTGACTCACTCTCCACATTTCTAGAAGGTGTCTCTTGGCCATTTTAATCCCATGTTCAGGCACCCAGGGCCTTTGGCACATCCCCCTCCAGACTCCTGATGGTTAACCAGGTCTGTGTCATGCAGGGGATGGTGGGGGGCGGGAGCGGGGTGGGGCTGAGGCAGGAACCGTCAGCCACCTCTACAGCTCATGTTGGAAATCTTTCCAGTGATCATGAACAGTCTCCAGTCTACATTTTTTGTTTGTTGGTTGGTTTGTTTTTCAGTCTACGTTTTTGTCCTTAACAGAAAAGGATATTATCTAGGAAGAATAGCTTGTGTTAATTGATTGTTTACTACGAACTGGGCACTCTACAGACGTTATCAGAGTCTCACAACATTTCGTTATTGGTTTTCATTTTCAAGATGAGGAAACGGAAGCTCAGAGAAGGACTTGACTTGTCTAAGGTCTAAAATCACACAGCAAGGAATTGGCGGAGCTGGGATCAGAACCCAGGCACCCTTGACTCCAGAGTTGTTTAACCAGAACCACACACCTGACCCCGCCAGCTGCCCACAGGTAGGGAAGGGAAGAGGGAGAGCATTCCACCCACCAAGCCTGAGCCTGCTCAGAGCCAGCCCCATGCACCCGCAGGATCCCTTGTGGTGTTGTGAGAGGGAATAGCAACCGTGAGAGGAGTCACCCAGGGATCTGAGGGCCACCACCACGTCCTTGGTGAAAGGAAGCCCAGACCTACAGAACACCCATGGGAGGCACCCCCTTGTGAGTGGGTCCAGCCTGTGCCGGCTGGTGGGAGTCATGGCTGGTCATCCCACCTCATTTTTACGTGGGCCCAGTCCTACCACCTCAGTTTTCCCCGCTTTCCCCTCCCTCACCTGGTCTCCAGTCTGCTCTGGATCCCTCCTGCTGGACCTCTCCCACCCATCCTGCCTTCTCAGCAGACGAACCCGTGCAGCCTAGCGCTGTGCTGTCCAATACAGTGGCCACTGACCACATGTGGCTGTTGAGCACTTGAAATGTAATGAATGCAGCGGAGGAACTAAATTTTAAATCTTATTTCACTTTAATCAATTTACATTTAAGTTTTAAAATTGACAGTGTTGTTATTGGAAAACATTTAAATATGTGTGGAACAACTTGGGTATGTAAATCATTTTTTCAACTGCAAATTTTATGAAATCTAAATACAGGTAATTCTCTAATGAAAACTTAGCAAGTGCTGTAAGTGTAAAAACTAGGCACCAGATTTTGAACACGTAGTAAAATAAAATGGAAAAGTATCTTAATATTTTTATATTGATTTCATGTTGAAATGATCATATTTTTAATATATCGGTTTAAACAAAATATATTATTAAAATTAATTTCACCTGCTTTTTAAAAATAAATTGTTATTGATTTTGAAGAGGAAGGGAAAGGGAGAGATAGAAACATCAATGATGAACACTAGCTGGTTTGGCTCAGTGGATAGAGCGTCGACCTGTAGACTGAAGGGTCCCAGGTTCGATTCTGGTCAAGGGCACATGCCCAGGTGCGGGCTCCGTCCCCAGTGGGGAGCATGCAGGAGGCAGCCAATTGGTGATTCTCTCTCATCATTAGGGTTTCTATCTCTCTCTCCCTCTTCCTTCCTCTCTGAAATTAATAAAAAATATATTTTTTAAAGAAAAGAAACATCAGTGATGAGAGAGAATCATTAATTGGCTGCCTCCTGCACGTTCCACAGTGGGGATCGAGCCTGCAATCCAGGCATGTGCCTTTGACTGGAATCGAACCCGGGACCCTTCAGTCCTCAGGCCGACGCTCTATCCCCTGAGCTAAACTGGCTAAGGTCCATCTGCTTTTTTAAGAGAAAGTTTATTTAGCAAGTTACAGAGGTAGCCCTGGCTGGTGTTGCACAGTGGTTAAAGCATCAGCCCACACACTGACAAGTCACGGGTTTGATTCCTGGTCAAGGGCACGTACCTGGGTTGCAGGTTCAATTCCCGGCCCCAGTCAGGGCTCCTTCGGGGGCAACCAATCAATGTATCTCTTTCATATCTCTCTCTCTTTTTCACCTCTCTCTCTTTCTCCCCCCCTTCCTCCCTTCTACTCTCTCTAAAAAAAAAAAAAAAAAATCAACAGAAAAAATATCCTCGGGTGAGGATTAACAACAAAAGAAAGAAAATTACAGAGGTAGTAGAAGTGAGCCAGCAGGGCTGCGTAGGCTCGGGAAACAAGTTACAGAAGCAAAAGAAGGGCCCTTGGAGCTTCAGAGAGGGAAAGACAACGGTAACACACCTGGGGGAAGAAGAGGGGAGGCCTGCTCTGGAGAGGAAGCGTGCGCCTCACCTGGTTTGCTTTAAGGTAGCTGCTAGAAAAATCTTCAGTTGCTTATGTGGTTCATATTATATTTCTATCAGACAATGGTAGCCTAGAGGTTAAAAGTGTGAGTTCAAATCCTGGTTCTGTGTGTCCTTGAGCAACTTAACCAATCCCTCTGGACCTCCGTTTTCTCGCCTATTAGGGATAATAGTTGCATCTCCCCCATAGGGGAATAAATGAGATAATGTTTGTAAAGCACTTACCACAGTACCTGGCATATAATAGTGCTCAGGGAAAAAACATCATCATCATGGGCTTTCTTTCATCATAACACTCCAAGTGCAGTTCAGTTAAACTCAGTATTTATTGAGGGCCTGCTGTGTGCTGGGCTCTGGGGATTGGATGGAGACAAGCCATTCTGCTCTCATGGAACTCCTATCACTAGGAGGGAGGCAGCCACTAAAAGAAACAGGATAAGTGCAGGTGGTGGCAAGTGTTGGGGAGAAAACGAACATGGATAATTGCTAGAGAGTGGCTCAAGGCTGCTTTAGCAGGAGCGGCCAGGGAAGGCTCCCCGGTGGAGCAGGGGACTTTTGAGCTACACCCGACGAACCAGGTGAGGCTGCGAGGGAGGCATGTTCCCAGCAGAGGGAACAGCTAGTGCAGAGGCCGGAGCGCAAGCCCCTGCCTTGGCTGTCTGTATTGCTTCACCAAATTTTCCACTTCTTGCATCCAGCTCTCTCCTGGCCACTACACTGTCCCGTGCTCATGGCAACCTTTGTAAACCTGGTCCACATGATCTCCCTTCTCATCTCTTCTGTCTGCTCCTGTCCCCTTCACAGGCCTCCTTCTCCACTGCCCCTCCAGCTCCCGCCTCCTGTTCTAGGAAGTTTCCCCTGATGGGCTCTCTCTCGGGTTCTTCTAGGCTGAATACTGTGTTCCTTTGTTCGATACCATCCTGGTCCCCCAATCTCCCCACCCCCACCCCCCGGCCCTTCATCTTCCTGGGGCAGCTGTGCCTTCCCAACACACTTGCCCCCTTTCCTAGGGCAGGAACCAGAACCAAAACCAGAACCAGGTCTTACGCTCACCCCAGCACAGAGCTGAGCCCTTCAATAACTCCTATGGATTGCCAGATCCCTTCTCTGAGAGACATGTCTGCCCAGACAGAATGGAAAATCCCTGGCTGAAGGAAGGGCCGTGGAAATTTCTTCTTAACGTTCCCTTTCCAGACTTGGACTCACCCCAGAAAGCAGTCAAGCATTTGCCCAGTGACCTGCAAGGCAGCGCTGTTCTTCCTCCTCCACCCCCACCCCAGGCGGGAACCCAGGGAGCAGTGATGAGTGGGCGCGGCTGGGGAGAAGCCATAGTGGCAGCGGATGACTGCTCTGCTCTGCCTCGGAGAACCACTCTTGATGTCCTTTAGTCCCACACCTTCAGTTTAAAGATGAAGAAACACGGCTCAGTGGCAAAATCAGACTAGACTGAGGGTGTTTCCACTCCCACTCCAACCCCCTTACATTGCTCCATGTACCTGTGTCCTCATTGTAAAACGGGAATAATAATAGTACCTACTTCATTGAATTGGTGGTATGTCAGATGAGTTAAAGATGTAGAGTATTTTGTAGATATGAGCTCTATATGCTCTCGAGTCCTGAGCTTGCCCTTCCTTGTAGCCCCATGGTGGAGCGTGCTGTTAGCATTCTGCTGATCTCTTGTGGGGACGGGAGGGGGCTTGAATGAGGGCTTGAGTCATCACCAGAGGCAGGCAAGTTCCAATGAGGCCTGTCTTGTCTAGAGATTGTATCCACAGCATGTCTGGCCCATATTAGTCCCACTGCTTTTTAAAATGTATGCAGATGCAATTACAGTGAATAAAATACAAATTCACTTACCATTGTTACTGGAGTCACAGGTTTGTCATATATCAAGTCAATCAATGATAGCTAATGGAGATTCAGAATGGGTTGGGGGCCATTGGGACCGGTGCCTCAATCCTTAGCCCTTCTCCCCTGGGAGGCCCGGGCTCCTCTCCTGTCCTCCAAGGTGTGCGGCTCAAATCAGCTCTACTACTCTCCCCAGCCTCAGCCTTCCCCCAGAGGGTCTCTGACAGGGAATCGGAATGCCTTGGGGGAGGTCCATGTGAGAGAATGAGGAGAGCAGCCCTCACACCTTTGGGGCTGAAGTTTCATCCTTCCTCCTCTTGGAACCTGTCCTCACTCTGCCACCCTCTCTCCTCCAACTTCCTAGAGCATGTGGAGTACTGCAGATCCACAGCCCTCATCCAGCCCTTCACCCCGTACTTATAGGGATGGGTGCAGTGGGACTTGATTGCTGGGCAAATTTGAACTTGGATGGGACACGGAGTGGCACAAAAGTGCTTGGAATTTGTGCGTTGTTGGTGGGAATGTAAAATGGTGCAGCTGCTGTGGAAAACAGTTTGGTAGTTCCCCAAAAAATTAAAAGTAGGATTATTATATGATCCAGCAATTCAACTTCTGGGAATATACCCAAAAGAAGTAAAAGCAAGTCTCGAAGAGGTATTTGTACACCCATATTTATAACAGAATTGTTCACAATAGCCCAAAGAAGGAAGCAACTCACCTATCTATTGATGGATGAATGGGTAAGCAAAATGTGGTATATACATGCAATGGACTATTACTCGGCCTTAAAAAGAAAGGAAATTCTGACAGTTGCTACAACATGGATGAACCTTGAACGCATTGTGCTAAGTCAAGTAAGCCAGGCACAATAAGGCAGATACTATATGATTCCCTTTCCGTCGGGTACCTAGAGCAGTGAAATCCATAGAGACACGAAGGGAAATGGCGGTTGCCAGGGGCTGAGGGGAGGGGAACGGGGAATTGTTGTTTAATGAGTACAAAGTGTCAGTTTTACAAGATGAAAAGTTTCAGAGAAAGGTGGCACAACAATGAGAATATATTCAACACTAGTGACTGTTCCCTTAAAATGGTTAGTACGGTGGATTTTATGTTATATGCTTTACCATAGTTTTTTAACAAGTGTTTGGAAGTGGCCCCAATGGGCTCTCCAGGCGATGGAAGATTTGAGATGTCATGGTCCTTCAATCCCTCCTTTCTTCTGCACATGTTCATTAGCTTGTGGTTTTGTTGTTGTTGTTTTAGGAATTCACAGTTTTGCTGGGCTCAGACCAGAGGAAGACCATTAAGTCTTGAGGACCTCTGTGTATTTGTCAGTTTTCTTCGCCACCTTCTTTTTGGCCTGTTTCTGCAGCTTCATGAGCTGCCATTTCTTCGGGTAATGGATTTTGGCTCTCCCCTTCCCCTCCAGCGTGGCTGTGACTGCCTAGAACTTCCGGCCAACCTCCTGAGCCAGGCGTCCCAGGTAGGCCAACCTCCTTGTAGGCTTCCAACACGCAACCTTGGGGGCCGCAGGAACCACTGCTCTTTCATGTCATAGGCCATCGGGATCCCATCAAACACCTTGAGATGGTCCCAGGGGTCCGGCCTGCTTGGCCTCACACTGTCCGCAAAAGATGCAGTGGGGGAGGGGGGGGGGGAAAAAACTGGTAAGAGCCGAGGGAGGGGTTGGTGTTCATCCACTTGCAGAGGAAGGCCAGGGACTTCATTTTGTTTCTGTAGAAATTGCCAGAAATGTTGATACCCTCACAGTGCACGTCCCCCGCCTTCCGGCCCAGCAGCACCTGCTTGGCCACAATGGTCGCCAGGCGGCCCAGGAGATGCCTTTGCCATTCAGTACCAGGACCTGGCCCTCCGCCGCCTGCAGCAACTGCCTGGGCTCATTAGTAGTTTCAATAGGCCGGGCTCTGTTCTAGACACAAAAAATGCGGGCTGACATTCTATTGGCAGAGACAGACAATACATAAATCTGATCCAAAATATTCATGGCTTTTCTTTTGTTTTCCTTTTCTTAGTGAAAAATCTACCATTTTTATTTACATGTGGTTTACAAATTACCATATTTAATTGTGGAGCTGTAATTTTTTAAAAAAACTTCTGGAGCTCCCCCGGCCAGCGCGGCTCAGTGATTGAACGTAGACCTATGGACTAGTAGGTCTCAGCAGGTCCCGGCTGGATCCCCAGTAGGGGACGTGCAGGAGGCAGCAGACCAATGATTCTCTCTCATCATTGATGTTTCTATCTCTCTTTCCCTCTCCCTTCATCTCTGAAATCAACTTAAAAATATTTTTTTTAAGAGAGAGAAAAAAACTTCTGGAGCTCATTTTATATATTTTGTGTATTAAAACATTTTAAATTTATTTACTTTTTTATGGCATTTATTTGAATGGCACTGGTTAATAAAATTATATAGGTTTCAGGTGCACCATTTTACAACACATCATCTGTACACTATTATATGTTCACCACCCCAAGTTAAATCTCCATTCATCACCTTTATCCCTCCTGTACCCTCCTCCACCTCCCTCCAACTCCCTTCCCCCTGCAATCACCACACTGTTGTCCGTGTCAATGAATTTTTCTTCTCTCTCTCTCTTTTTATATTATGAATAATGCTGCTATGAACATTCATATATAAGGTTTTATTTGGATATATGTTTTCATTTATCTCAGGTATATACCTAGAAGTGAAATTGCTGGGTCAGATGGTAACTCTATGTTTAACATTATGAGGAATTGTAAAATAGCTGCACCATTTTACAATTCCTCCAACAATGTATGAGAGTTCCAGTTTCTCCATATCCTTGTCAATACTTGACATTATCTGTCTCCTTGATTATAGCCATTCTGGTGGTATGAAATGGTATCTCCTTGAAAATTGATTTACTTTTTCCTAATGACCAATAATGTTAAACATCTTTTCATGAATGGCTTATAGGTCATTTGTACATCTTCTTTGGAGAAATGCCTATTCAGATTCTTTGCTCATTTTTTAATTGCTATAAGAGTTCTTTATACATTCTAGATGTAAATCACTTATCATTATATGATTTGCAACATATCTTCTTCCAGTCTGTGGGTTGTTGTTTTTTTACTCTCTTGATTGTGTCCTTTGAAATACAAATGTTTTTAAATTTTATAAAGTCCAACTTGTTGATCATCTGTTTTATCACTTGTACTTTTGGTGTCATATCTAAGAAATCATTGCCTAATCCAAGATCATGAAGATTTATTCCTATATTTTCTTCTAAGAGTTTTATAGTTTAGCTCTTCCATTTAGGTCTGTGACCCACTTTGGGTTAATTTTTGTGTACATATGCCTTTTGCAACAATTCATGGAAGCCCTGGCCAATGAGGCTCAGTTGGTTAGGCGTCGTCCCCGTGCACCAAAGGGTTGCTGGTTGGACTCCAGGTCAGGATACAGGTCAGGGCACATGCCCAGGTTTGGGCTCTAAACCAGTAGTGGGTGTGTGGAAAGCAGCCAATCGATGTATTGCTCTCACATCAATGTTTCTCTCTCTCACTCTCTCTTCCTCTCTAAAAATCAATAAAAATTTCATATATTGAAGTGTAATTTACATTCAATAAAATTGATCAATTTTAGGTATACAGTTAAATTAGTTTTATCTCACATACTTTTAGTCATTCTGTATTGTTGGATTTTTTTCCTGAGAAGTTAGTGTGTGTGTGTAGCGGGGGGAGAGGTAGAAAGAGAAAGAGAGAATCACCTTCTTAGGGGTTCCCACTTACTTTGGCTTTCTCTTGCAGCCCCAGGGATCCATTTAATTATATATGGGTTGAATGAATGAATCAAGTGACAGTCTATCAGTGTCTGCTTTCAGAGCCACTAGTACTACATGACCACAGTTATTGCCACAGTTGGAATGGGGATGAAGACTCCTCACCGGGCTCCTGCGTGGGTATGTCTGGGTTTAATGGGCTGTTTTCTAATTTGTGATTCTTTCATAGAGTCCCCTTCCAGGAGAATGAGAGTCCTGTCGTACCCTATTAATGGGGCCTGGTTTCTGTGCCTCATGTTTCCTCAGTCTTATGGTGGGCTGCCTCACCAGCACTCGGTCACCTCTACCAGCAACAGTAGGATGTGGCTGACCCAGACACCCTGGGCTGGGGAACCAGGAGGGCTCGGGGAGTTGAATGGAAGGACCAGGAAGTAGGAAGCCACACTTCCCATCTGAGGCCTGCAGCCCTGCTCACTGAGCCATGCTTGGCCTTTGCATTTTCTTCTGAACCATGACGTAAAACTATAGGAGCCCCTCACCCCCACCCCTCATGCCCTGACCAGGGATCAAGCAACCTTGGCGTATTGGGACAACACTCCAACCAACTGAGTTACCTGGCCAGGGCTTATGAAAGGAATCTTTTACAGGGCGTAGCCAGGCTTAGAAGAATACAGCTTAGAAGAACAGCTATCTGAGCACATTGCTCCAAAATGATGTCTTTCACAAGAATGTATTAAGGTTATATGTTGACATGACTGTTGTTAAAATGATGGCTTTTGAAAAGATGTTAGAGAAAAGCAGGACCAGAGGGGAAGGAAGTCAAAGGTGGTCCCTGTTGTGCAGGGTGCTTGCTCTACAGCCAGCTTGGGCCTCTCATTTCTTGCCCAGCCACTAGCTTCCTCACCATTACCCCCATTTTACAGAGGAAACAGAAAGTGACTTGCTCAAGGTCATCAGCTTAGAAATGTCTGAGCCAGGATTGAAACCCACATTTCACTATATGTACTGCATGGTGGTCTTAGCCACAAGGACACTCCCTCTCTTCCAGGATCTTGGCCTTTAATATTCCTCTACAGTAGGCAACAGGCGTAATAAAACAACAAAGTGTTCTACCCTGCCCTCCTTTTTCCTTAGCCTGAGAGTCTGAGGCTGGTGAGGGAATCTTGTGTTGTCTGAGCCAAGGGAGAGGGGGGTGATCAAGGAAGAGGGTGTCCTACAGAACTGGACGGATACTAAATAAGTACCTACAATGAGACCAGAAAACTGCTAAACTGCAGTCATGAAGGACAAGGCAAGGGGAGGCAGAGGGGACTCATAAAAGGACTAGAACTTGCTCTGGGCCTTAAAGGACAGGCTGTGCAGGCAAGACAGGGCCCACATCCCTGGTGGAGGGCACTGGAATGAGCAGAGCCTGGGGCCAGAGAAGGGGGCAGACCACACTGACCTGTCCCAAAAAGAAGCAGAGTAGTAGGGAGTACCCTGGATAGTCTGAAAAGGGCCCAATACCAAAGGTCTTGAGAGGCAGACAGTAGAATCTGTTAATAGGGAGCTATTACAGGTTCTAGAGTAGTATCCCAATGAGATGGGAAATAGAAATAAGGGAGGGAATTAGAAACAAAGGGATTCAGTACAAAATTTGTAGGCCTAGTAGAACGATTTTTGAAAGCATTTTCCAAAGTTGGGACTTAGCCACAAGGATGCTACCTCTCTTCCAGGATCTCAGCCTTTAATATTCCTCTACACGAGGCAACAGGCGTAATAAAACCACCAAGTCTTAGCCCCATCTTCCCTTCAAAAGCCCAATGTCTGGGGCAAAGCTTCCTGTTGCATCTTAGGAGGCCCAAGAGCTCCCACTTAGGAGCCCTTCTGTCCTGCTTGTGGAGATTTGCAAGCCTGTGAAGATGAAAAAAGCCCGTCTAGCTTCAGGAGAAGGGTGTCTCAGCTGAGCTGTCTTGGGAACCCAAGCTTTCCTCTGGCCTCAGTCGAACCATTTAAGAAAAGCCAAGTGTGCTTGCTGCCTCCTAGTCCTGGAAAGGGGTTAATGCTCACTGTGCATCCAGCCTCCATACCAGCAAGGCTCTGCTCTGGAGCCGGACACAGTTGTTTTCCTCGCTCCTCTTTTGGGGCCAGGGAAGCACAGCCATGAACATTGGCACGGATCTGCCCTCATGGGAAAGTGACACCACACAGAGGGTGAGCCTGCTTCACTCCCAGTTCCTACTCTGAGGGGCTCAGTGGACAGGTCAGCCATGGTCAGAAGAAGATGGCCTTTCAAGGGCTTGGGCCTCTGATTACTAATCTGTAAAACATTACAACCCCCCACCAGACCCACACCTCACAGGGTGGCTAGTAGGAGGCTGTGCTCAGAAAATGAGTGAGAGGGCTGTCCTAAAACTGCTCTGGGTACCGTCTCATTTGCTAACACCATTTTCAAATCTAGTTCTAACACAGATTCATCCACTTTTGGGAATAAGTCACTCAGTTCTGCCAGAGATGCGAGTTTTCAAAACCATCCCAAAGTTCAGGACCCTGTGTCAGAATCCCTGATGAAAATTCCTGGGGCTCTTGGCCAGCATCTCCACCGGTGCCCAGGGATCTGTGTTAACGGGCGGCCCAAGGGATTAGACTACCCACTCGAGTGGAAGAACTACCGTTTTACAGTTGGGCAAACAAGGCATATCTGGGACCAGGAAGAGAAACAAGGGAGATAAGTCTCCAAAGGCCAGTGTGGGAGGACTGCCTGCCAGTCCCGGGGAGTGAGAAGTGGGAAAGGCCTTGGCCTTCATCTGGCCCAACCTCAATTTCACTGATAAGGAAATTGGGGCCCAGAGAGTACAAGGAGTCCAGGTCATTCTTGAAAACAAGTCGGCAATCCCCTTGCTCTCTAAGCCCTCACTTGTCCTTCCGTCACCTTCATGTGCATGGGTGTCTGTTTGTGTTCTACACCTGCCCGGGCCACACCTCCCATGAGGTCATGTCTCTTTCTGAGCCCTACTTTCCTTGTCTAGTAAGAGCCTGGAAGGAAATAGTCTTTTTCAAAATCCATGTATTGATATCCCTGCCCTATAGCCTTTTTATATCCAAAGATAAAATTTGTAGTTTTCATGATTGCAGCACAAATAGAGCTTTTTAAACAGAAACAGTTTCTTGCAGTCCTTTTATTACCTGTAAGGAACTTGGGCTTAGGGGGCCCTTGTACCTGGGCCTCCTAACCCAGGGGGCAGCTAGGTGAGCTCTGCCTACTGACTGTGGCTCTGTGGGAGGTCTGAGTCACTCACCTTCCAGTGATTTCCCCTGGTAGCCTCAGTCAGCAGAGCCAGGGATCCAGGGTTCTTGGCACAGATGGCACACAACCCACATACCTCCATTACCAGGCTGGCAGGCAGCCCCGGAAAGGGACAGAGAAGCGCACGGGTGGACCTGAATTTGATTGAACCCACCTTTTAACAGTACCCATCCCATCCCACTCCCTTTCATTTCTTAGCACTAATAAGAGACTCAACCAACTTTTAACAAACACTTTTTTTATTAGAAAAGTACAAAATATTGCATAGGTCTTAATACTTGAACATCAAGTGTATTCATGAACAGGGAGTATCTTCATGTAAACAGTTCTAGATGGAAGACCCAGATGGCACTCCTCTGGGGAAGGGGTGCCAGCCCCCACCCCAGTCAGCCCCACCACTCACAGATAAACTCTTCAGTACACTTCGGGGGATGGGACAAGCGCAGCTCCCAGGTGTATTTTTTTCTCAAGTGTCAAAGATCCCCCAAGTGATCCCAACACCCACCCTTCTCTACTCTTACATTCATGCGTCTGTAAGATAGCTGCCTAGAACAGGTCAGTAGTGAAGCTCTGGTCAAAAAAACAAAAGATGCAAAAACAAAGAACACACACATTTGGCCCCTTCAGACCATGAGATACACAAAACACCTCCATGACCTCCCCCTCCCCCCGGGCCAGCTACCTTGAGCACACACGGATTGCAATTGCAGAGGCCAGTGCAGCCCAGCTGCTCTCCTGGCTGTCACACCACTGTCATCTTAACTGTCAGTAACAATAAAAATAAGGTACATGCTACATACACATCCAGCCAGAAGCCTGGTTGGCCCCTAAACCTTTGTTTCATGCTACAGTACTGAGGGCAAGCCTGTGCCCACAACGAGAAGCCACCTCTACACACCTCCGTGAGCTTCCCAGAAACACTTTCTCCCCCACCGCCCCTCAAGTGGCTGTCAGTTCTCTAACTAACAGGCAGCAAGCAGCTCCTCAGCTCCTGCCTGCCAGTGTCCACCCCAAAAGTTCAGTTGTCTGCTGTGGCGTCGGCCCCCGGCCCCAAGTTCAACATTCCTCGATGAGCAGCTGCTCGGAGCTGTACAGCTTCTTCTTGATAACTCGGAAGCCGGTGCTCAGCGTCAGGGACTGGCTGAAGCCAGGGACGAAGGGGCTGTTGGCGGAGCTGAACAGCCCCTGGATCTTGGGCCAGAGGCGTGAGTCCAGGCGCAGCACCAGGGTCAGCTGGAAGGTGGGCACCAGGCTGGGGTCGAGGGCCAGCTGGCCGATGCTGTGGCAGCTCTTGCCCTGTTCGACGCAGACGTCCAGCAGCGCCCCCCGCAGGCCGCAGGGCTCGCTGTAGGCCAGACGCAGCAGTTCCTTGCCCACCTGGCTCACCAGCTGGCCGGGCATCAGCAGGCGCGCGGGGCGCCGCGAGCCCAGTCGTGCCTGGGCCAGGCTCTCCTGCAACAGCTGCATCAGGTTGGCACACAGGTGCTCGTCCTCGGGGTCGCTGAGCAGCTCAAAGTCGGGCAGGGACACCCCGTCCAGGTATGCCGTGTCTGCAAGGGGGAGCACACAGGGGACGGTGTCAGAGCAACTCGCTCGCGGGGGGGATGATGCTTCCCGAAGAAACCAGCACTCCGTGCCTCAGTTTCCACCCCACACTCGTGCCCTACACGCCAATCCCCTCCTCCACTCCTCCATCCCTCCGCCATCTGGGTGCTGGTGGGTTTGACTCCTTCCAGCGCGGCGCTCCTCTCACC